AGTATAGGTCTGCATACGCCACCAGTTTCCCCATCCCAGCTTATGCGGTGGTGGGATCTTGGGGTTTAAAAGACAACACAGTTTAAAGCAGCCAAGGTTGAGAAACACTGGATTACACAGCAGAACCACCTACCTGCTTTGGATTACAACTATGATTATTTTGATTACCTTCTTAATGATTTCTGAGCTGTGCCAGTATAGTGGGAAGGGAAGAAAAAAGGGAGCGAGGACTGGATTGCAGCAATAAATGGCCATGGTGAGAACATTTCTTTTACAAAGGAACTTTTGGCTAAGATGAGCCTCAGAATTGACATCATTGCATCACAGATTCTGTTGAGTTTTCATAGCAGCTAGACTTGAACAACTGAATAATTAAGATTTGGATAATTAACACCATTTGTCCTTTGGAGCAATTTGTGAGTTTTAATTAATTGCTTTTGTATATGGTTGTGACTTACAGTGCACTACGATACTGGAGTCAACACATGTAAACACGATCTATATATAATTTTGTATAAATTTGTACAGTGTGATGGGGTGGTAGAGAGGTGAAGGGAAGAGAAGGGGAACATGGAAAAGGATTCCGGAATGGATTGTTTATAGGAAAATGGCAATTGAAAGCAGATTGTAAAGAAGGTTTAAGTGTGTGGACAGAAGGTATCTTTAAAAAATAGGTAGTGGTGATGTTGGCACTCAGCTCAGATTCGAAAATATCAATGAAATCTTTTTTTTATTGTTAAAAGTAACTTAATGTATTTTGTTTTTGATGATTACTTTTTCATCAAAAGCATATTGAGCACTAACTATACAAGTTCTGTAACTTCTTTGTCCACTTACTAATATTATATTTTTGCATCTCTTCTCTTCTCTTCTCTTCTCTTCTCTTCTCTTCTCTTCTCTTCTCTTCTCTTCTCTTCTCTTTCTCTTTCTTCATTTTCTCTTTTTTTTAAAAAAAGGATTAATAAAAATGATTCAAATGATTCAAAAATGTGGACAAAAGGTAAGAGTAGGTATTAGGAGAAATACCACCACATCCTACCATCCTATCAACACACTAGCCCAATTCAAAGAGAAAGAAGGGAGAATTTTAATCCTGAAATTAAGAAAAGAAGGTAGGGGCCAAGCTTAGACAAATCATCCCAAGGGGGGGGGGGGGGAAGAGGACAGTTCCCAGTACATGGATATATTGGCTCTGACCTATGCTTAGAGACGAAACAAAAAGCAAAACCAGTCCCAAAGCAGGAGATTACACTTTTTTTCCAAAAGGCAACAAGTGTAATCAAGAATTGATATGTACTGGATCTCCAAAGCTCTCACACCATCCTTCAAAGAAGAGCTGATTTGCTCAGTGACATATGCAGATCAGGCCATTTAATTCCCAAGCATCATGTTTTCTATTATGTTCCCAAACTTGAGAAGACGGAGAGATTGTTGGCAAACCCTTCTTAAAACCCTTCACCTCTAGCATCGTTCCTCCAGTCGACAACACTTGTAACAAGCAAGTTGCCAAAGAAGAAAATTCTCTCCCCCTGGCCCTCATCACTGATCCATAACACTTAGTAAGGATTCTAGCAAGCTGCAATGATAATTACATGGGCAGAGTAATCCAAAAAGAGCAGGGGAAGGGATGTGGAATATAGGCCTCCATTGCCCTGCGAGCTGTCAAAATAAGGTGAAGTCCTTCAAATCTAGAATTATATGGTGTCTATATGAGCAAGTCCGTGCAGGTTTTTCTGGGCAAATGTATAGAAGTAGTTTGACATTACCTGTCCAAGGAGGTTTCTCCAACTTCACAGTCCAGCTTTCCTTGGGGTCTTCCCTCCAAATTCTACTCAGCCCCAACCCTCCCAAACATCTGAGTCTGATAAAATCAGTCAGGTACTACTACATGATGAGACACACGGAGTACATCTAATTCAAGCATGTATCCTGTACATATTTATGGAATGTTAAAAAAACTAGAAGCTAAACTAAAATCAGTTTCAGGCAAAATTAGTAACAGCATACCAAATATCTCAGAGGGTTTTCAACACATATTTCAAAATCATAGCATGAATTCATTATTCAGGGCTGAAAACTGCCAAATTCTGATTTCTCTTTCCTCTGTAAACAGGTTATGCTTCTGAAAACAATGGAAGTGGAAGGCAATCAGACATTAGTTACTGATTTTGTCTTGGTTGGGTTTACAACAGACCCATTGCTACGCATAATCCTCTTTGTGGTGTTCTTGGCCTCCTACACACTAACACTGACTGGGAACCTGGGCCTCATGGCACTGATCTACCTAGACTCCCGTTTGCACACACCCATGTACTTCTTCGTGGGCAGCCTGTCCTTTCTGGATGTCTGGTACTCCTCGGTCTATACTCCTCGGATCTTGTATGACTGTGTCTCCAAGAACAACCACATGTCCCTTGCTGGTTGTGCAGCCCAATTGTTCTTCTCTGCTGGCTTGGCCTACAGTGAATGCTTCTTACTGGCCTTCATGGCCTATGACCGCTTTGTGGCCATCTGCAACCCACTCCTTTACACCACTGCCATGCCCAAGAAGCTCTGTGTCCAGCTGGTGGTAGGTTCCTATGTAGCTGGCTTTGCCAATGCCATTGCACATATTAGTAACACTTTCCGCCTACACTTCTGTGGGAACAATGTCATCAACCACTACTTTTGTGATGTGCTACCTCTTCTGAAAATGTCCTGTGATGATATAGGGGTCTATGAAGTCATCCTGACTGCTCTCATAGGTTGCAATTGGCTGGTAACCACAGCTATCATCCTGAGCTCCTACATTGGTATTGTGGGAGCCATAGTCCGTATCCGTTCATCTGCAGGGAGACGCAAAGCCTTCTTCACTTGCTTGGCCCACCTGGTGTCAGTCACCCTCTTCTATGGCTCCATTGTCATAATGTATTCCAGACCCAAATCTCAACAGACTCCCAATTGGGACAAGGCAAATGCATTGTTCTATACAGTAGTCAACCCTCTGGTCAACCCTTTCATTTACAGCTTACGCAACAAAGATGTGAAGGCAGCCTTCAGGAAAATCTGGGGGAGATTCATAGCACCCAAATGAATGGCATTGATACTGTCTTTCTTCAGATTTGATTTCATTGAAAAATTAATCCCTTACCTGTAATGTCAGCCTGCCTGCCTGCTTGCCTTCTTAGTAAGAGATGATCAAGAGAGCCAGTAGACCAGAGAGATAACTTCAAAGATCTGCTATCCTCAAAATCTTCACATGTATTTATCTCAGTGGGCAATTGTTTCTCATGCATGGAGCTTTCTGTCTTCTTCCTACCAGGCAGCATCTTCAAAGTATAGTACATGGGGAGCAAAATAGAAAGAAAAAGGTCAGGCATGGTCAGAATGAAATGATTGGACAATGATAAACTAGAGAGAAAGTTTGGTCCTTGGGAAAGATGGACATATATGGATTAAAGGTGTGCTTAATCCTTTGCCAATCTCTACCCACAATTTGGAAATTACCTTAGGACCCTTCTCACAGCCACATTCACCTACTTATTCCTCCACTTCTTGCATTATACAAAAAAAGTATGCTGGCCTAAATTGTACTACCCCAACACCTGTTGGTCAATCCTTCCAGGTTTCACATGGGATAATATAAGGCAGCCATTGGTATAGTCCCCCACTTAATTTCATCCCCTGACAAATATCACTAATTGCCAGCAATAAGACCCCTGAAAGAATCTTGAAAGGGGGAGAAAGTTACAGGCAGCATATCCCTCTCTCTAGAGCCCAAGTGAGAGACATGTGTACCATAAGCACACACACTTCATGGATGACGGCTTCATCAGGAGAGGGCTAGTCCTGTTTTTTAACTACAGATCTTCCACTCTCTGAAAAAAGCAGGTGCTGGGTTTATAAGGAACCCACTTAACATACAAGAAGTGTGTCACAAAGCAGCTGGCAGCCATGACATAGGCAGATGCTGCACTGGAAACCAGGCACCCCGCTCTCCTGCAGCGCAAGGCAAAATGGCAGAGGGAAGACGCCAGTGGCCAGAGAGGAGGGGCAGCCGGAAGGAGGCAGAGGGGGACAGACAGATCCCAGCCCCTGCTGCCTCATTGTGATGGAATATATCTACGAGGAGGAGAGTGATGCGGGAGATCAAGGCTATCAGGAAGGAGGGGTGTATTCCAGCATGGCAAAGCAGATAAGAGACAATGCACTCTGCAGGGGAAGCATGAGAAGAGAAAGCGATTCAGGGTAGCCCCTCCCTAGTATCCCCCAGGGTATATCCACTAGTTGCTGTAGTATAGATTTAGTTTGGCAAGATTCTGTCTATAAGATGTCAGCAAATAAAGGAACTGTACTCAACTGGACCGTTTTATCGTTGGTTTTGGGCTGGGCCTGACACTCATTAACTACATTGGCCATCAAATGCTCTGGATTGAATCAATTGCTAGAATGGTGCCAAAAGAAGAGATTAAAATCACGGCTCAGATCATTTTATAACTTTCACCATTTAGCAATCCAGAATGAGTTCAGATTATCTTTTACGTGTGCTGCAGATTCCATCATAACTTGTTTCTGTTCCCCATCAGATGAGATTCTTCTCCACAGATGCAGGTTGCAACATAAATACACCTCATCTTAGCAGAAAGAGAAAAGCCTTTTCAGAATATATTTATTCAGTTACAAAAGCATGCACATTTTATTGTTTAATCAAAAAGACCAAGAAATCAATAAATTACGGTTGGGAAGTGGTGATGATGAAAGGTGAGCAGAGCATTATGGACAGAACGAATAAAGCAGACATTTTTATTCTAGATTCCTGGGCAGAAGGACTTTTCATTTATAAAGAACTATTTTAAACCCTCTTTATGGCTTATGTTACTATTTTCAGGGGTTTCATGACTCAACCTGGTGGGCAACCTTGCTGCCAGTTTTCAGCAAAGATGGTCAGAAGCTGCCGAAAGGGGGTTCAAACAAGGCTTGCAGGTCAAACCCCCAGATTTCTAAATAAAGACAATGATGGAATGGCAGAACTTTGTAAACAACAAGGTTTAAGTTTTAATAATCCTGCAGGATAATCTGAAGGGGTGGAAATAATAGCTTGGTTTTCCCAATCACAAAACTCCACAAAGAGGAAAGGATGTGGAAAATAACGTTGTTCATTTATGTTATTGTGAAAAGTTTACACTAGAAGTTCCATCTACATCATTTATAAGCAATCAGAAGCCTTGGGCTTCTGCAGCAGCAACATATCAGCTCACTGGGTGACTTTGGGCCACCTCCTCTCAGCACAATCTCTCTCACAGGGTGGTGGCTGTAGGGAGAAAGAGGAGTGGGAACATTAGAAAATGCTGCCTGGAGCTCCTGAATGAAAGGATAAATCAATAACTGGATCAACATCCAGAAAGAAGAGCACTGTTCTGTTCTGCTTTGACCAAATTTAACTACGAATACCATATCTATTGCTGGGAATGATGACTTTGACAGCTTGCCAAACTGGACCTAAGAGGAAATGTTGGAAAAAGCTGGACACTTTTGCCTGGAGAATATAAGATACAAAATGAAAGTCGATGAGAGCATCTTGAAACATTTGAAAGATATGCTGAAGAAGATGGGATTGATTCTGAGAAGGCAAAGTAGGGGAGCTTTAGGGTAGATCTATATGCACAAACTTAGATCCATAATGTCTTTCCCTGACATACAAAGATACACACACACCCTTCCAAGCACAGAGAGACCTATAATCTGGTGGCCTTCGCTGGAAGAAAAGAGGGAGACACCAGGCTTTCCCTTGCAGCTCAGCGGAGGGCAACAATTGTCCCATTTTGCTGCAATGGCTCTTTTCGGCAGCTTCACTGGGAGGAAAGAAGAAGCCATGAGCTTCCTTATTCCTTCTGGGGAAAGACAAAGGAAAGACTCTTGCAATTGTCATCAGCAGGTTATCTGTCACCAAGGGCAAGAAGGGAGGTACAGGACGCAACGAACCTGACCAGCCTTCCACCCAAGGACATGCCTTTTCTGTCCTCCGCCTGAGAGGGAAGGAAGGGGATCAGGAAGGGAGCAGAGAACCAGATTATGGGTAAAGATTAATCAAATATAAGGGCTGATAAGGGCTGTCCAGCAGTGGAATGCACAGCCTAAGCGAGTGGGAGCCTCTCCTTCACAGCGTCTACCATTTCTGTAGTTCCATCCTGCCATTGCAAACTAGAT